CAGCGGCCATGGCTCACGGGCCCAGCCGCTCCGCGGCATGTGGGTTCTTCCCGGACCGGGGCACGAACCCATGTCCCCTGCATCAGCAGGCGGACTCCCAACCACTGCGCCACCAGGGAAGCCCTCTCCTTGATTTTTAAACAGAATTTATCACATTGATATAAAGGCCTGAGCAGTTTTAGTAAAATGTGGTTGATAATAAACATACATTTGTCCTTGGTTTATGATTTCACAGATCAGAATTAACATCAGCGTATAGAGTAACACACTTGTGGGAAAAAAATAGCCCCATAAAAAGGGAGCCTTTCAAAGATTTGTCTGTATGTGATTAAGCTACAAATAATGTACAACCCTCCAGAAAGGCTAGTTCTTTGGTTTTGGAATTGGGCCTTGTAATCTAAATAGAGGCTTACTTTTTATAACTTGGCTAAAATATTTTTTGGCTCAAAAGTTAGCAAAATCAAATATTTTAATTATTATAACCTTTGTGTGCCCCTCTTAACGGTGATGGGTGTAGGGTTGGATGTTTATGCATAGAAAGCCAGTTTGCTATAAAGGAGAGTGTAGAGGTGTTGTCCATTTTCATTTCTTCTCTCCTTGTGTTTGCACAGGAAAGGTATTGAAAATGCAGGAGAGAACTCTTCATGGTCATACTCTGGGGACTGAATATTAAGCAGTTTCTGAAACGATTCAAAGGATTTCACCAAATGTTTTAGCATGGAAGAATGAGCAGCCTCTAATGAGGACTAATTAGCTAACTTGAAGATTTAAATAATTTAAAATGTTCAATTTTCATTTAAACTTTATTAAAGCAGCCTGATATTAATACAACCGGGAATTTTTGGATAAGTAATTTATAGAAGAATGATTTCTTTTATGTAGCCTGTAGCATAGGTTTGAGTTGAAATGTGAGCCTAGGACATCTTTGAGAGAAATACAGAAAAACTTCTCTCGCCCGGAAATACTTGTGGGAATGGATATTTAGGTTAGATAGAGGTAGGAAGAAACACTTTTGGTTTTTCAATTTTTATTTTAAATTTAATGTGTAACAAGTAGGTTTATTTAACGGACAGCTGAATGCCATCTAAGCACATATATACATACACAGATATGTGATCTTATAAGAGCCTTAGGGCCATCATTTGGTACCTTAGCTTTCATTATAAATTGCCATGATGTAGACAGATATTTATAGTCCTGTGACAGGCAATGTTCTATATCCTTTATACACATTAACTCAATC